TTTCTGTGTTCAGCTGAGTTACTTCCTGGTCCTTTTTTAATTTGCTTTTTCTCATGTCTGAAGCAGTTTCTCCTTTCTCACCCTAGAACTGCGTGCCTCTTGTTCCCTGCAGGGATTTGTGCCTTCTCCCCCCATTAACTCTCTCATCAAGCTGCTTCTTGGCTCCCTTTCCCTTCCTGCCAGCACTCCCTCTGCTCTTCTCAGTATTAGGAAGCCAAGCAGCTAGTCGAAAGAGCCCTTCCTTTGCCTCTGACTCCCCTTGTCTGCCCAGAACAGTTTGTTCTTTTGTACTCCTCTCCGTAGATGCTGCAGCAGCAAGAGTGCAAGCTCCTCTACCCCAGGAAGGAGGGACAGCGACCAGAGAACAAGGCTAAGAATCGCTACAAGAACATCCTTCCCTGTAAGGGGCCGAAACCGAACACTGGTTTGGGTTTTTTCACCACAATTCCTGCAGCCTTCTCTGAGGCTAGTTAATCCTGCAGGGCTTTCTGATCCTAGCTGAGTTGGAAAGAGGTGTATGCTGTCCTAGGGGAGTTAGTGCATGGCGTTCTCCAGCCCCTTTCTAACCTGGTCCTTCCCTTTTGCATGGGGAAACTGGTAGATTGTGCTCCTCAATTTGTGCTGGGAGTCTGAATATGCTTCTGAGCTCAAGTGTGGTTCAGAAGTCACGTGGTGCCGGAGCTGGAGGCTCCGAAGGAAATACTGGAAAACTTGAGCTCGGGTTAGCCTGCAACACTCCATATCACTAATGTCCATCCAAGTTACTAGATTGGCAAGGTAGCTGTGAGCCAGGCAGAGTGCAGTACTGCTACGTGTCGTTAGGAGAGCATTTTACACCCTCTTTTGCAGTAGTTACCCATGTGAGTTCATAGTAAGAGCCTTGGGGGGGGGGGTGTCCTTGCTGGGAGCCACTGTGACTGCCCTGCGCCAAAGCTCCTCTGTGCCTCTGTGTGTGTGTGTGTGACTCACTCCTGTGTTCATTCTGACTCTCTTCTCCTCCTTCAGTTGATACCACACGGGTGGCACTCCGAGACGTAGATGAGAGCGTGCCTGGGTCCGACTACATCAATGCCAACTATATCAAGGTACTTGGGAAAGGGAAGACACCCTGTGGGGGCTGTCTTCAGCCCAGTGCTATGTTTCTGGTGGCTAAGTGCAGTAATGGTGTAAGTCTAGAGGGAATGGCCTGTCAGGACCAGTATCTTTCACTGGGTCCAGGCCACAGTAGAATTTTTCTACTGTATCCCAAGGTATCTCATCATTCTACCATGTCCTATTTGCCCCTATCTAAGAGTTTGTCTCAATCCCCTCCTTACCTGTTCAGGGGGTCCTAGGGGACTGACCCAGACTCTTTTTCATTGAACATTATCTCTGAGGTCAAATTATAATGGTCATCTGTAAGCTAAGAGCTGCTGGAAGCTGTATTTCCAGCAATGCAGCTCTGGCACTTAAGCATCAGCCTTTGGGAAACCTTCAAGGTGGCTTCATTCCAGCCACATCCACCTGCAACTTCTGCAGCTGCCTGATGGTAAGAGTCTGTTGCACAGTAACGTGCATTGTGGCACTCTAAAGGTCCCTGGAGGCGGGCAGACAATTTTGCTGGTGAGTGTTGAAGCTGCTGGTGAGAGCGGTTTGTTGTCTGCAGGGCTGATGAGGAGAGGAAAATCAGCTAGCTCAGGAATCGTGCATGGCTGACTTTGCTGCTAAAGCAATTGCTCCAGCATTGTTGGGGTTTTTTTTCTTTTCTTTTTCCCCCCTCTCCTTTGCTCCTTAGAGCATCCCTGAAGATGGAAGGAACTCAGAGCACTGCAAGATCTATATAGCCACCCAGGGCTGCCTGCAGACGACAGTGAATGACTTCTGGGCCATGGTGTATCAAGAGAACAGTCACGTCATTGTCATGACAACCAAGGAGGTGGAGCGGGGCAGGGTGAGCACTTGTAGGGTGCTGTCCCCAAGCCTGAGAGTTACCTGCTGCTAGTACTAATAGTGTTTAGTTAAGTTGTCCCTGGCTAGTTTTCGTTTCATTTCTCCTCTGTCCTCTAGTGTTGCTTTAGCTCTTCTTCCTGAAAGAAAACAGACCACGTTGCTCTTCCCAGTCCCATAATAAATGTTAATGGGGTGTCCCTCATATGACTTTGCTTCAAGGCTTTGGGGAATTGCAGGTGGCGGAGGGAGAAAGCGTTGTTGCAGCAAGCTGGAAAGCGGCAGGAGGGTGGCGCAAGCTGTGTGAGGGACAAAAGTAGTCACACAACCTCGCTGTGTACTGCCTGTATGTGTTTCGATAAGAGCTGGGTCGGTAGGATCCAAGGAATACAGTGAAATTCCATGCAAAGCCATTTACCACAACAGCCTTCCCTATAAAAGAGAGGATTATGATTGGCACTTGTCAGTTTGGCTCAGGAGTGAGGGGGAGGCTGTGCTTGCAGCGACCTAGTGCCGGGTTGAGATAAAAATAGTTCTACTCACAAAGCTTCTTTTGTATTGGCGGAGTTGCTATAGCAAAGAGGGGATGGGCTGGAGGACAGGAGGGCTGTAGGCAGACTGTGTACCCCCTTGGGATGGAGATTTGGCTCGGGAGTTAAGCAACAACCAGACCAACAGCTCAGGTGCTGTGTGCCTTTGGCAAAGCAATGCCTACCTGAGGCTGGGGCTAGCTGAGGAGGGAGATTTCCCCCTAGGGATCACGTCCTTCGTATAGGAATGGCCCTTTCCAGTACGTCCCAGTTCAAAGGAAATGCTCTGTGTATATAACTCTCCTTTTACGCTGGGGCTCCACACCCGCAGCATCCCTGAGCAAGGTGTTCAGGGGTTCATCCGCCAGCTCCTCAGTCTCGACTAAGGACTCTCTGATGTTGCTGCAGAACAAATGCTTCCGTTACTGGCCAGACAAGAGTTGCAGCAAGGAGTACGGGTGCATCTGCGTGCGAAACGTGAGCGAGCGGGAGGCCCAGGGCTACTACCTTCGGGAGCTGGAGATCTTGCGGATTGACAGGGTGAGTCCTCTGCTGCCGTCTGCCCGCTGTGCTGGGAACGGGCTGGTGCTGGAACCCCCAGGGGGCAAGCTGTGGCTTTTCTCTTTGGGTTGGGTTGGGCTGAGTTGGTGGGTTTGGTTGGTTTTTTTTACTTAACGGTCCCACTGCTTAAGTTCTGGGCCGCTTTGCCTCAGCTTTGATAAAAAGAAGGGAAGGATGATAAAAAGAAAGGAAGGAGAAGCCTCCTAGTAGGAGGGGTTTTCTGACTGGGTGGTGGGTCTCTGCTGCTTGCAGGATGAGCGCCCGAGGCTGGTGAAGCACTATCAGTATTTTAGCTGGCCGGACCACGGGGTGCCCAATGAACCAGGAGGGGTTCTGAGCTTTCTGGACCAAGTGAATCGGGCACAGCGAAGCATTCCGGACACGGGGCCGATCATAGTGCACTGCAGGTATGGACCAGTGGGTTGTCAGCAGGGCGCTGCAGCGAGGATAGGGAATGAAAATATCTCTCTTCTCTTTCATTACACCGGCAGCTGGGTCATCCCATGAGCTGATGGTGGGCAATTGGGATATAAGTGTGAAAATATAGCCCTCCTCCAGAACCTCACTGGTGACAGCACAGGGAAGAGCTGGCCTGATCTGGAGTTGGCAGCTCTGATGCACCCTGCTAGACTCCGGTCTCCTAAGGGTCAGCATTTGGATGGGCTTGGCTTGCAGCAGCCCTGCCAAACCTGCCCAGGATAGACCAGGCATGCAGATGAGTGTGGGAGCTGAGCTGATTAATTCCGGGGAATGTTTCTTCCTGCAATGATTTTTTTCTTTTCTCTTTCTAGTGCTGGAATAGGACGCACAGGCACCATCATAGTGATAGATATTCTAGTGGATATTATTCACAGGCAAGGTACGTCTCGCTGTCTCTCTCGTGGCTGTCACCATTTGCCTTGTTCTGACCAGTTAGGGGATAACCCTGCTCTTGGGCAAGCAGTGGGTACAAGATCTCCAAGCAGTGAGTTTGACTTGTCCAGGAAACAGTGGACATAGGCTCAGCCTGAAGGCAGGGTGAGAAGGGCTTTTGTACGGTGCCCAGCTCCCTGTTTCTCTGGGAGCCAAGAAACGGAGCTCTGTCATAACAAAATGTGAACCCTCTCCAAATGGGTGTGCACATGGACAGCCCTCTAGTAAGGGAGAAGGTTTCAGCAGCACAGCACGGGAGTGTCTTCTGGCTGGAATCAATGGGGCCAGGATTTCCAGGTCTCCTGGACGACCCTCTTTTACTGAGGAGGGGGTGGGGGGAAACAGGTTCAGTGAGGGTGTAACTCCAGTAGCCCTTTTAGAAATAAGTCCCCCAAACTCTCTTGTGTAGAAGGGCTGTCACCCTTACCTGAAATTCTAGAGCTGTTATGGAACTCTCTGGGTCTGGTCCAGGAGCCTGGGGGCAGGTGGACCCTCTTCAGCAATGGTTGTATCTATTTCATAAACCGTGCAAGGGCGGTGAGTCTGGATCTGTAGGAAGTTGCCACAGAACAGACCTAATTCCCTTCTCCTTGCTCCAAGCAAGTCAGCCCTGCCTCAGCCATCCTCAGTCCAAGGTGCTCTGGCAGGAATAAAAAATAAAAAATAACAATAAAAAGTCTCCTACGCACAGAGACGCACCGAATCCTTTCACAATATTCTGGGGCTTCGCTGACACTGTGTGCGATGAGGTACTGAAAGCTTTCCAAGTTGTCTTTAAGAAAATAATTTCTCAGCCTAATTCCCACTCCCTAAACCTCATCTTCTCGCTTTCGAGCAGGTTTGGACTGCGACATTGACATCCCCAAAACTATCCAGATGGTACGCAGGCAGCGTTCGGGCATGGTGCAGACTGAGGCGCAGTACAAGTTTGTTTACATGGCTGTTCAGCAGTACATTGAGGCTGAGCAGAAGAGGTTGGAAGAAGAACAGGTGAGTCCTGTTTGGCTTGGGTGGAAAAGCGAGGGTAGAACTTGGCCCGCGCCAAACGCCACTTCCACTCCCAACCTTCTCCCTGGAACTCAAATACTGCCCTGAACACGTGGAAATAAACCCACACCCGCTGCTCTCCTGCTGGGCACACAGGATCTTGTAAAGCTTTCTTCTGAGTCTGCTTTGAGTGGGATTCTATTGTCTTTGCTTTCCCTTTCAGAGGAATAAAAGGAAAGAGCGAGACTACTTGAATATCGGCTACTCTCCTATGGAAAAAGGCAGAGCCAAAGGGCAGCCCCCTTCACCACGGACCCAGTCAGTGTAAGCTGAATGTCTCTCTGCCAGGGCTAAGAACCACTGCAGCCGTCGAGAGAACGGATGGAGCAAAGGCCCCACTCTTTGTCCTTTGCCAGCCTGCCTCTCCCACACCCGAAACCCGACCAGTTGCTGGCTGTCGTGTGGGAATGGCTAAAAATCAACGCGTGATCCCACCGCACATCCAGCAGTGGTGGGAGCGGCCCACCTTGCTTGTGTGCCACGCTTTTGGAAAGGAGGGGAGGAAACAGATCCTTGCCTTTAGTGAGTAGTGCCTCTGGAGAACCAGCTAGAGACTGAAACTATGCTGCTGCTCCTGAGGGACTTGGACAACAAAATCTGAAGGAAGGCAAGGAGAGAGCAGAGGGAGGTGGCTTTGCACCCGTGTGGAGAGGGAGCATGTGCTAAGTAGCCTGAGTTCCTTACATAGATAGAGATAAAATACCCCAAGTTATGTTTTTCCCTCTTGCCCCAAGTAGGATAGTGGTGAGCAATGGAGAGGGGGTTGTAAGTTGAAGGTGAGCGGGTAGGGACGTACGTCAGTTATAGTAGCAGAGCTGCTGGGCACCTTGAATTGCAGGACTGGTTTTGAAAGAGGAGATGGCCAGGCAGGAGCAGAGGAGTGGATGTTAAAGTGGAGGCAGAAATGCTGTTGCTGGGCTCATGCAGAACAGAAGATTCCACTGGAGAGGGCAAAAGGAGATGTCGCACGTTCTTCTCCAGGCGTTCGGCCCTGTGCCGTGCCCAGAGCTGCCTCCGCAGCGAGAGCCAGAGCTGGGCCCAGCAGCTGGGGTGCTCTGGGCTGGGGTTGAGGCAGCGGCCACCTTGGGAGCCAGGAGAGGGCAGGAGGAGGCAGGGAAGGGTGCTGCTTGGCTCCCGTGGCACCCCCTAGGCAGGTGCTGGCAGAGCCGGACTCTAGTCCTGCGGCACGTTAGTAACTGCGAAGACGTTGCTTCCCTGCCACGCTGAAGGGAAATCTGGATCCTTCGCTGGCATCATGAACCTTCCAACTCCTGCTGGATCTGGCCAGTTGGGATCTTCCCTGCTGGACTCTAGAAATGTTTGTGTCCTGTGTGAAATGCCCAACTTTGAAACTGCAGCTCTGAATAGATGAGGGTGGGGAGGACTGTGCGGGACTGAGCAGAGCACGGCGAGCTCTACGTGGTCGGTGCTGTTGGCTCCGGAGAGCTCCTGTGAGTTCAGCTTTGGGTGTCAAACCTGCTTTGGAGGTACTTGGATCTGACCTTTGGAGCAGCTCTCTCCTTCCATTAGATTTTGGCAAATCCAGAGAAATCGGGTATGTAGAGAAAGTAAGAGTAGGAAATACCAGGAACTATATCCACTGATTCTGCAGAAACTTTGCATCCATGAAAGGCTGACATGTGGAGGAAGGTTCACAGCTCCATCCCCAAGATTTTTTTGAACCTAGGAGGGGTGGCCCAGCCAGAGGGAGAGAAAACAGGGATTGAGAATGGCAGCAAACCCACTGTTGTCCTTTCTACAAGGCTGGGAGGGGAAAAAAGGAGCTTGTCTGGGCCCATTACCCGCTTCCCACTAGCCACCTGCCTCTGGGAAAGATCCAGAGCAGCGAGGCGGTTAATAACGAGGCTTTGTTTCTTGACAGGGTTGATGATGAGTCAGCTTCCGTCTACGAGAACCTTAACATCAAAAGCCCGAAGGTTTCAGGGATGAGTAACACAGGGCGATAAAGGAGCCGGAGGTGAGCTGTATGGAGGCCGTGCAGGTAGGAACGCTTCCCTTGATCCACTGAGAGTGTCACCACAGGCTGTTGACGTTGCATTTGACCCAGCTCCTCTTCAGCTCAGCTTGTGCAGATCTCTGTGGCTCTGCCTGCGTGAGGGAAGGCAGCTTCCCTCAACACATTGACAACGTCACCAGCGAGGGGGGAGGTCTACTTTTTGGACTGTTATGTCAGGAAGCCGTCAGACTCGGGGGAACAAGACTGGGCTATGCATGCAAACCAGTAGGAGAGGCTTCACACGCTGGGAGCATCTCTGCAACCTTCTCAATGTGCTTTTCTCCCAGTTGTAAACCACGCCGCCCTTCTCCTTCTTGTTTTCGAACGCAGGATTTCCAGTGTTTACGTCCACCCTTTCCAAGTTCTGCAGTTGCGGACAATTTATTTTGCCCGTCTTGCCTTCCCCAAGCACCTTGGATTCGGCGAGGAAGAAGCTGACTGTAAGAAGCAAGCAGAGTCTGCGCCTAAGAACATGCCTTGACCTAACTTATTCATGAGAAGGATCTTCTCCCATTCTCCCCTGTATCAGTAGGTTGATATTTATGTGGAAGTGCCTCTGGACATTCATTAGGGCATCAAGGCTCAGTTTTAATTTTTTTTTTTTTTTTTAATTTAAGATTCTTATTTTTTACCACAAATTGTTAAAAGGAATGGAATGACTGTTTGCTAAGGAGCTTTCCCAGGGTTGCCCACTTAGGGCGTCGGTAAAACGTTAGTACACTTCAATGTTTTCATTAGGTCGATCATTTCTAAGACAGAAGTGTTTTTAGACTAAATCCTGAAGTAATTTTGGTGCCTGCGGGGGTGAGAAATAGAGGGCACTGCCTGGACCCCCAGGTATTTGTACCTCTGTTGGTTGTTCTCTCACTTCCTTTTGGCTGGACCGGTTCTAGATTTCTATGCAACCCTGCCAAAGCACACCGAGCAACCCCTGTAATACAGCAGGGGTGCTGGGGGTGTGGTGTGCGTGCCTGAAAGCCTGCTAGCTGCTCTGCCCGTGGGTTTCGCAGCAGAATTGAGAGGCAGAGGTGAGCATCTCCATCTTTGTCCGCGTGGGTCTGAGCGTCGAGCGGAGTGAAATCCCACCTAGCTGATGGGTGCTGGAGAGGGGGAGAGCAGCTTTTACTGTGCGCTGTGCTTTTAGCCACCCCTAGCGAGTAACAGCCTGGGGTGCTAATCTGGCCTGAACTTTTTGAGCTGGGCCCCTCTAAGCTTGATGCAGCTCTGCCGTTACGTGGCTGCGTGACCTCTTCCCACCCCCCTCCCGCAACTATATGACAAGGCAAATGTTGTGTCTGCTGAGTTAGGGGTGTTGTAGGAGTGTTTGTGACTTGACCAGTGCTGTGAAGATGAGTGTGTCACTGAGTGAAGTATTCCAGCTCTGTTGGGAAGTCTTGACTTGTGACTGCCAGCCCTTCCTGCTGTTCCAGCCTCGAGACCTGCAAACGCTCTTGCCAAAGAACCCCTTCCTGCAGGATTCATCCGGGTCTGAAGGTGCGCTCCGGGGGGAGCCTCGGGTCTGCGTGCCAGTGCCTGAACCTCCAGAGCATGCGTGGGGCTGATGCTGAAGTCCTGGGTCGCTGGAACTGGGTGGACTTGCTGCGTGGTTGGGGTATTAGTGCCTGGAGTGCCGGCTCCAAGTCTTGAGCAGAGGGGGTTGAACAAAAAGCACAATGACATACCTTGGCTGTATTTCCTGGCTGGTCTTTCTGGTCCCTTGTCACAGGGACAGGAGAACTGTTTCTTTTTATTGCACTTTTAATAAATGTTGAATATTCTCAAGGCGCTTTTTTTTTTTTTTTCTCCTTTATTTTTAAGTAGTTTGCTTTTTGAGAAAGTGTCTGACAGTTGGTGTGGACAACAGGGCATCCTGAATGTCTCCCATCACCAAATGCTACTGTTGAGGGCCCTGTTTTCACTTGCTTTGAATCTTCCTTTTGACTATGCATGAGTGAGGGGTTCAGCTGCGTGTTCGCTAAACCTTCAACCTTTGTTTCCAAGCACACGTTGAGAAGGGGAAATGCAAAGGGACGGCCCCCACAAGGGTGCTGTGGCAGGCTACTAGGAACAGTTGGAACCGTGAGAACATCTCTGTGGCCCGTTTGCCGCCCTAACAATAGATTTTGTGAGGCTGAAGATGTTATTTCCCTCTCCCCTGCCCTTAGGTCTCATCAGTGGGAGCTGAATGGTAACGAAGATGTAATGACAAAGCACTTCCATCTCTGCTAGTGGCTTATTTGCTGGGCTTAGTCCCAAATGCACCTTGGGTAAAATGGAAGCGCCTTCTCTGCCTTAAGTCTTGGTGGGTCACTTCTTCCGAGAACGCACTTAAATTGGCGCTGTGAAGATATCCTTTCGGTGGCAAGCGTGGGGGAACAGACAGGACGATACAAGTGAGAATCCCTGTCAAGCCCAGTGACTTTGGCAGAAGTTGTTACAGCGCCTGGAGTCGTTTCTGCAGACCCGTGGCTGGCAGCGATAATGCCGGCCGGCAGCTGAATAACCAAGGCGTTGCCGATACAGAACGCGCAGCAGCTTTCCACGGAAGTTTCGCATAGCAACAGCCTTGAGTTACTTCTGCCGCTGCTTCAGCCTTTTCTATTTCAAATTAGGTTTTTTGGGAAGGGAGACTGGAAGCGTCTTTCATCCGTGTAGGAAGAAGCAAAAGATGAGTAGTCTTTGCAGCTTCTCGTTTTTCAGGTAAACAGAGGGAGAAGTCACACCTGGGACTACACTGCCTAGGTGGTAGTTAAGTATGAATTTACAGGATGAAGCTGTCCGTGTGTGCAGGATTGTGCAGCAGGGGGACAGCTGGGGCACGGGCCAGAGTACAGACATGCCACCTGCTGTGTAGCTGCCATGACCTGAGAATGCAGCTGGACTCGGGACTGCTAAGGGAGCACCTCCAGCTGCAAGTGAGAAGGGAAATGTGGAGTAATTGCTACGACTTGACACCTTGCATTGTATAAAACATAATTTAATACATACATATATGGTACTTGCATACAATACTGTCTTACATCCACGTGTTTGAATAGAAAACATTTAACTGTAAGTCGCCTTCATCATGAAGACTTTTGTTAATCGCTGTCAGAAGATCACTGCATTAAACAAAAATATAGTGTAAGCAACTGGCCTGTGTCTTAATACTGACACATTTTAAGATTAGGAGGGTAAAGCTGTCAAAAGATGGAACTTCTATTGTTTTGGCAACAGCCTGGGAGAAGTATGAATGAAGTTTGCTGATGAAGTTAGTTGAGTTTACACTGCTGTGTCGGCGTGCCTAACAGAACAGTGTGTTCAAAATCACTTTCCAGGTAGGGATGAGTGATTTTTTTTTTTAAGCATCTTCTTAGGAAAAACGAGTAGAAGGGCTAGTCTGTTCTGTTCAAAAGCTGGACGGGAGGGTAGCACAACCTAGGAGGTGGGTAGCAGTGATAGATCCGTGTTTTGTCAGCAGGAGGCAGCACTTGCACCTCCAACGCAACAGAAATGCTTCAAGCGTCTGGCATAAAGATAATTTTCATTTGTTTATGCGACTTTGACATGTCTTTACCCTCCCAATCCCAGCTCCTGTTAAGAATAATCATGTAGATCCTTCAGTTTGCAAAAATAGCCCTTTATTCCCTCTGGGAGTTTGGGGAGCTGCACCCACTGTCGTCTGGTACCCGGCCAAGACGGCACACGGCCACGTGCCACTCGAGGCAAACAGTCCTAGAAACCTGGCTGTTCCTTTCAAAGCTCTGGTTTCCATGGAGAGTTTGACAGCAGGATGCTGAGGCAGCTCCTGGAGCATCCCTGGACTGGAGCCGGCTTGGCAGGGAAGTATTTCAGCCGAGCTCCTGGAGGTGGATGCGTGTGTTCAAGTGCGGGCTCAGAAGGAGTTGGGGAGTGGGCCACGGGGTCTGCCAGCGATCCAAGGAACGCCGTCAGGGCAGCAGGCCCTGTTCCTGCTCCCCGATGTGCCACGGGGAGGGAGCCGACAGCCCCACTGGATTGGGAGCGAGGGGCTGCCTCGCCGCTACTGGAAAGGGAGTTGTGTCACAGGCGCTGCCACGGTGGTGTGTTTAGGGGGAAGATACTCTGGCCTGTTCATCGCAACAGTCCTCGTGAAGCAGCGGAGGTTCCCCGTCTTCAGGGCGCACTGGACTGGCCACAGAATGATGCAGAACAGGATGATGATCAAGGCGGAGAGGAGGACTATGCGTTTCCAGTCATCGCACATGTCGCAGCGGGACAGCCTCCCAGCTAACCCTGCCGGGGGGGCCTCTGGACTTTCTGGCTTGCTCATGGCGACATCGATGGAGATACACGAGTCTGGGTTCTCGGGGTCATCAGATGACTGGCGGCAGCAGAGCTTGGTCCCTTCCATCCAGAGCACCTTCTCCTGCTGGAGTTCAGGAGGCAGCGTGGCAAGGAGCTCCTTGCTGGTCTCAAGTGCTGGGGCACCTTCCAGAGGGATGCTGGTCAGCTGCCTGCAGAAGGGGCAGGGGAGCTGGTCCTCTGCTTGGTTTGGGGGCAGCCCGGTGCTCAGGCGGGCCACACACTCCAGGCAGAAAACGTGGGAGCACTGGAGCAGCTTGGGCGTCTTGAAGGTGTTGTCGTAGGTGTTGAAGCAAATGGAGCACTCGACAGGGGAGGTTGGCTTCGGAGACGTTGGGTTCGGAGAGCCTGGCTTGTCAGTTGGGGACCTCGCCTTCCTCTTGCCATCTCCTGGGGAGCTGACAACAATGGGGCTGATGGGGATGGGGATTTCACCTGGAGATGCAGGGACTGGGCTGCTGGGAGAGTCTGGCGTGTTGGAGTGCCACAGCTGCGTGAAGCACGACATGACGGAGCCCCGGGAAATAAATAGAGCCCTGGGAGACTCTAGAAGAGAAGAAAACCACAGCCTTCATTTTAAACAATGTGAAGACACCCATCACCAGACCTATGTTTAACCCCTTAAAAGGAACAAAGAGCAAGT